CAGGGACCCATCCCACTGTCCACAGAGTGACTAAGGACCCACCCCACTGTCCACAGAGTGACCAGGGACCCATCCCACTGTCCACAGAGTGACCAGGGACCCCTCCCACTACCCACAGCCAGGGTCCCATCCCACTGTCCACTGATAGTAACCAGGGACCTATCCCACTGTCCATTGAGAGTGGTAGGGTCCCATCTCACACTGTCTGTCCACAGAGACCAGGAACCCATCTCACACTGTCCACAGGAGTGTACACAGGAGAGTGGTCGGGGACCTCGCCTCACAATGGCCACAGAGATACGTCAGAGACCCACACAGCCCCTATCTCACATGACCTCCAGCCGTCAGCAGGGTCCCCATCACACACTGTCCACAGGGAGGGGATGGGGCCCCAGGATGGGGCCCCATGTCAGTGGACACATGCTACTTTCCTGAAACAATCTTGTGCTTGGAGCAAAAGCTTCATCTGAAGGTAAAAGGGAGCTAAGTAACCACGAGTCACTTCCATTGTTCACAGCGCAGGACCTGTGATGCGAGGAGCATCCCCACTGCTGGAAGGGGAAGCCCTGTCGTGGGGCAGTGTGCACACAGGAGTGAGGGAACAGCGAGGCAGAGGGGGGGCGCAGCCTTACCTGTTAGCACTGGCGAGGTGTGCACTACTGTCCCCACACGATGGTCCCACACCTGCAAGAGGGGAAGGAGGTGGAGCCGTGGCCTCTGCTGGACATGACCCTCCAGCTACAAACCACCTTCTGTGGACAGGCAGCTACAACAGACAGAGTAAGAGTATACGAGCACTCCACCAGGGACCGACAGCCGGGCATTCGGCAGACCTGGAAGGTATAAAGCCAAGAAGCGACATTTCCCAGCCAAGACTCAGCACAGTCACAACTGCAGCCAAGAGGGACTCAACTCGCGTGTGCCTGAGAGTTCCCTCACCCACGTGTCCCCCACGCATGCCCCCCAGGCCCCAGTTCCTAGGACGACCAATCCAGCACCATGATTCCATTTTACAAAGATGAGGTGCAGTCGTCAACTGTCCAGTGTGTGAGGGCTTGAGCTGGAATTTCTCCAGAGGCAGCGAAACCATGAAGGACGTCAACTGCTTTTACCTACCCACTGACTCACCAAACCCACCAGCCCACCACATCCACCAGCCCCCAAAACCCACAAGTCCACCAGACCCATCAAAACCTAGGAAACCCATCAGCCCCCCAATGCCTCAAACTCACCAATCCAAGGAACCCAAAGATCCATCCAAACCACTGACCCACCACACCCATCACCCACTACAACTGCCAGCCCAGAAAGGCCTGCCTCTGAGAGGTCCGATGTCCCATGTGTACCTTAAAGCTCCTGTCCTCCGACACAGATATGACGGTGTGCACTTGCCACGTACAGAATGCCAGCGCGGTCACCGGAGCCAGGTGGCCCAGAAGCTTGGCCAGGATACAAAGCTTCTGGGGGAAGTTGTCAGGGTAAGTGGCCAGAAGCCTCACGTCCTCCACAGGAGAAAGTTTTCTTCCAGAACCTCAACTTCTCAATGTGACCCAGTGTGTGAAGTCCAACAGGCGAGGGTCAAGTGTCAGAGTCAAGTGAGGTGGAGAGTCAAAGAGCAGCGACTCAGCAGACAACGAGCAGACCAAGCCAGGTCTGAGCAGATCTAGACAGAGGTGCCTATCTCTGCTGCCCACGCCAGCCTTCACCCTGCCCCTGTCCACCGCACAACTGCTCACCTACTCCTCTCCACCTGTCCCTGCCCACCCCACACCTGACCCTGTCTACTACACACCTACTCACCTACTCCTCTCCATCAGACCCTGTCCACCCCACACCTGCTCACTTATTCCTCTCCACCTGACCCTGTCTACTACACACCTGCTCACCTACTCCTCTCCACCTGCCCCTGTCCACCCCACACCTGCTCACTTATTCCTCTCCACCTGACCCTGTCTACTACATACCTGCTCGCAACTCCTGTCTACCCTGGTTCTGTCCACCTATCCTTGTCCACCCCATTCCTGCTCACCTATTTCTAGCCAATCTGGTTCTTTCCACCTGCTCCTGTTCATCCTGTTCCTGTCAACTTAACCTTGTCCACCCTCCATCTGTCCACCTGCTCCTGTGCACCCTATACCTGTCGATGCTGCCCTGTCCATCCTCTCCTGTCCACGTGCCCTGCCCCTCTGCATCCTGTCCCTGTGTATTCCATTCCTACCCACCCTGCTCCCATCTGCTCTGCTCCTGCCCATCCTGCCCTGTTCCACACACACCTGCAGAAGGTCCCCCGAGCAGCCACCTTCCTCCTCGGCCCTCCCCTCCCTCTCCTCGTCAGTCCTCCCCACCCTCCCACTCCCTTCTCCCCTCCTCTCCCTTGTCCACTCCCCCTTCCCTGCCCAGTCCTCCCTTCCCTGCCCCCTCCTGTCCGCCCTCCCCGTCCCATCCTCCCTTCCCTCTCCCTCCTCTGTTTACCCTCCCTCTCCTCCCCTTCCCCCTCCCGTTTATCCTTCCTCTTCAGTCCTCCCTCCCCTCTCCCTCCCCCTCCCCAGCCCAGGCCCCCTTCCCCTTCTTCCTCTCCCCTCCGCTCCTCCCCCTTCCCCTGCCCTCTCCCTCCTCTCCTCTGGAGCAGGCTCTCCTGTCCTTGGCCCTTTTTTATTTCTCCCTCTCTCCGACCTGCATCCCACCTTCCTCATCCCAGGGATTTACTGTAGTAACATGAGCTGGTGGGATGACGGCTGATTCTGATTTTGTTATCCTGCCTCCAAATCCCTCAGCAGCCCCAGTCTGCACCAGGAGGGAGGTGTCACAGAGTGACAGTGTCAGAGGTCCCTAGCACCCATATGGGGTCCGGACTGATGGGTGTCTCACACCCAGGGCTACTGCACAGGCTGTGATTTTCAAAGGCTCCATAAACCCACACCGCAGAGCTTGCCATACACAGCATATCTGTAGAGGCTCAAAGGATCTCTGTTCCCACCCTACCTGGACATCCAGTATAAGGACACCATTCCCAGCACACACGGCCACAGTGCGGTCATCTGGGCTGAACTTCATGCAAAGCACCGTGCCCAGGAGGGAGCCCAGGACCGTCCCACAAGGAGCTGTTCCTGTGGGTGCATCAGTGTCAGCCCCTGAATGTGCCCCCATCCCTCTCACTGGCCCCAAGTGCTGGCTCTCACTGAAAACCCAGAGACACCAGGTCCCATGACACACTGTCCTCAGGACACAGTGGGGACATGCAGAGCTGTCCTGAGGATTCAGCTCAGGGGGACTACTGGCCATCTCACACATCCATGCAAAGGAACAAGAGGACAGGAGGGTATAAAGGAACTGTCCGAGAACTATCAGGAAACCTCTGCTGTCTAAGGAGAGTGGTGGGGACAGGGAGACAGGGGCAGGCAAGAGCCAGGACAGAAGAAATGGGGGCTACAGAGCAGGTGTGGACACTGTCAGAATCCCTCACGTGGCAGCACAGTCAACAGCGATGAGGACAAGTGAGTGGGCGTGCAGCAGATCAGGAGGAGAGGGCAGGCCTGACACACAGGGAAGAAACTGGGCCAGGGTGCTCCAGGGAAAAGAGGCGGGCGGGCCAGGAGGCTGATGTGCGGGGGCTGCAGTGTTCACCAGAGATGCTGAGACTACAAGCAGACGTCTAGACACTCCAATCAGCAGCTATCCACACCATCCACACAACAGAGTAATCTATACATCACACAGAGGAGGAATCTATACATCCACACAGAGGAGGAATCTATAC